TGGGTTAATTGGGGGTTAAAAAAGCGGTCATAATATTAAAAAAGGTTAAAAATTATTACAGGCCAAAAAAAAATTGAAAAAAATTTGATGAAAAATAAAAAAAAGGTTGGGTAAAATGCCCTCGAAATTTCCCCCCCCCTAACCTAGTTTTTTTTTCTATAAAATGTTTTTTGATAATCATTTTGGAATATAGAAGGTTAATTATTTTATGAATAATTAAACATTAAACGTGCATTTGTTCTATATTTTTGCGATTCAATTGCAGATGTAAGGATATGATTTTACAGTATAAAAGGTTAGTTGTGTTTTAATGAACCTTTGTACGCTAATATCAATCATTAATATGGAATTGCATGAGTCATTATCCTTTGTTATTGTTGATGATGATGGTTATTACAAATAATGTTTAAGTCTTGCGGTAATAATGTCTTGAAATTACAACGAACATAAAATAATTTTTGAAGCTTAAACTATTATCATTTATCATCGATAGAATTATCAAATAAAAATATCAATACCACTGATAATTATCAACATCAGAAAATATTAATATCCCTCCTAATTATGGGGAGGATCCGTTTTCTGTTACACTTTTAAAAGAAAATGGCTGAGAGGTTATTTTTTATTCAATTCACTGTGCAAAGGTAAGTTTTGCGAATATTCATACTATGCAATAAATTTATATGTGTTTCGCAAATTAGGTAAGACTAGGTACAAATATCTTCGTCTGCAACATTTACATTGATAATGGTCTAGCCTAAAAATAGTAATAATTACCATATTTTATCAAATGTAATTCCTTCCCAAAATCTATTTCAGATAAATACTTCATGTTGCTTCGATATCCAGCCACATAAATTAAGCAGGACAATTTATCACTATAATTGGATCGCGTTTGATAGATTCCACCCATTAGAATAAGATAAATAATCATCTATATGTAAAAAAAGACTTTTAAGTGAAGCATTTTCCGTGTTTCGAAACTACAAATAATGAACCCACGATTCATCATTACTGTATTTCAGTCACACCATACAACTATACGAATATGGGAAAGGCTAGATGAATAGAAAACTCGAAAAGGTGTCATAGCATATGTCACACCATACAACTATACGAATATGGGAAAGGCTAGCAACTCGAGAGGTGTTATAGCGTATGTTTTGATGATTGTTCATTGAAAATATAACCATAAAAACATTCTTTTTTGAAGAGACCAAAATGATCAGACGCTATGAAACCTCGACTTGCTACTGATCTGGCCTTTCCCATACGAAAACTACCATACAAATATGTTTATTATAGTAACTACAACTTATGAGCTCATTTCACACCCTACCTGATGACGCTGTAGTGCTTAGGAGATGAAGTGTTTGATGAAGAGCCAGTTAGTTAAAACGAGGTAGGCCTAACTACCACGCTGCCTGGAATGACGTGTTTCAAACGTTTTTTTCATTGCGTTTCACTTGTTTATTTTCGACTCTTTGGAACGCTTCACTTATTCTTTTCGACACGAACGTTTTTTTTTTTATTATTATTTTCTTATTGGCCGATATACTGTCTTGACTTGAACACCACTAAATAACACTGACTTCGATAATTAACACTACAATTTGCTCTTATTTGGCGAGTAAACACAGGCAGACAAGCGGATCACACATTTTGTTCCACGAAAAGTTTTGTTTGCGAAGAAAAGGGAAGATGGTTCTTAGACACATTTGACTTACAAATTAATAGTGTCTCACTTTTTTAAATAGTATCTTAGATCTTAAATAATGATATCTTAATTTTTTTCTTTTTCTTTTTTGAGGAATTCTTTTTTCTTAAATTATTTTCGTTAGAAAGAAACGTATCCTCCATTTAACTGCAACATATTACTACATCTGCGTTGGGCACTATTGCTAACAATTAAAACCACTTAAGGTTATATTTATCAATCTTTGTGAAATATCAATAGCACTGTAGAATATCACTATATTGTTTATTTTAACAATATCATTAAGAATTTATTCAACATTCCTAACTACCAACAGTCACCGAAATTATCATTAAACGGCTTAATATAATTATATAATTTCTCTATAACAAGAGTCAGCATAACCATCGTAGAATATAGAAAATACAATCACTGGTTAACATAGCCGTCTTTTCTAAATGCTAATAGTCAACATGATTATCCCCAATGCGCTGTACAGACAGGCAACATAATTTTATATTTCAAAGAATGGCAATAATTCACTCTCTCTCTCCCTCCCTCCTCTCTCTCTCTCTCTCTCTCTCTCTCTCTTCTCTCTCTATCTATATATATATATTATATATATATATATATATATATATATATATATATAGTATATATATATATATGTGTGTGTGTGTGTGTGTGTGTGTGTGTGGTGTGTGTGTGTGTGTGTGTGTGTGTGTGTGGTGTGGTGGTGCATATATATATCATCCATTCACACACATTATATACATGTGTTGTGTAATTACAAAAAACATATATCCTTCCCCTAACAGATTAGACTCAACAAGAAATCAACGCCATTTACCCATTAGTACAACTACGCCCCCCCCCCCTTGCCAAGAAAAAATAAAAAAAAAATTAGTACAACCCCCTCCCCCTCTATCAACGATAACAAACAACCATCATCAACTACACACTAATTACTAACACCCCCCCCATCTTCCCCCAACAGATCGCCAAGGACACCCTGTGCGACCCTGAACAGCGAGTCAAGTACGACAAATGGCTGAACAGCGGACTGGCCATTTCGTATGAGCAGTGGAGTGGGATGCCGCCCATGACAACGGTCAGTTGGCTTTTGTTATTTTTTTTTGGGGTTTTGTTTTTGTGATTTTTTTCTGTTTGTAGCTCTTTGTTTCTTGTGTTTTTTTTGTTTTTTTTGTGATTTTTTTTGTCTGTCTCCGTGTCTGTCTCTGTCTCTCTCTGCCTCTGTCTGTCTTTCTCTGTCTCTATGTCGTCTCTGTCTGTCTGTCTGTCTGTCTGTCCTGTCTGTCTGTCTGTCTGTCTGTCTGTCTGTCTCTCTCTCTCTCTCTCTCTCTCTCTCTCTCTCTCTCTCTCTCTCTCTCTCTCTGGTTATTGTTTATGGCCTTATTTGATCTTGAATACTAGTTTTTATGTTTTATTGTTGTTGTTATTGGTTCTGGTATCTCGTTATTCTGTTCTCCATTCTCTTCATTTTATCAATTTTATTCGGATGGGGAAGAGGTGGGTGCGAGAATTTTTTCACTTTTATCATCTATTCTTCTTTTCCCTAGAACTTTCTAATCTAATCTTGTCTATTTTTTTCGCCTTGGCTCAGCTTGAACAAGTTTTAAATAGCATTTTTAAAAATCTTTTTGGGTATTTTTCAAGAAAGTACATATCAAATACATTGGAAAAATAATATTTTTGTTTGAATAGTTTAGCCAAACTGCTGCTTACTTAAAAAAAAAAATGCGTTTATGCTTGCTAATTCCACATAGGAAGTTTTGTAATACAAGAATCCCATTTTCTCTTTTTTTCTCCCTCCATTTTCTTTCCCTATTTCGAGGGATGACTCACCTATCTCACCGCAAACCGCCTTAATCTTCTAGCAAAACCTCTCCAAACTTCAGACTCTGCACTGGGCGACTCCGAACACCAAGGAACGCATGCTGGAGCCGGGCACGTCCCAAGCAGCCACAGCAGGTCAAGCAGGACAAGGGCCCCCACCTACTGCGAAGCCCGGCAGCAGGAGGGCCTCGGAGCAGGTGTCCCACATCCTTCACGGGAGGACCAAGGAGACCGTCAGAGTCCCTCGCCCTTCGGAGGTCTGGGAACGGGACACCTCCGAAGTCATGAAGAAATTTAGGAACTATGAGATCTAAGGACCCACGCGCCTCTGCAGGAAGACCAAGCTTATGATTATTGGCATTCATTTTTTTTTTTTTTTTTTAATCTCTCTCTCTCTCTCTCTCTCTCTCTCTCTCTCTCTCTCTCTCTCTCTCTCTCTCTCTCTCTCTCTCCCTCTCTCTCTCTCTCCTTCTCTGTCTCTCTCTCTCTCATCCTTTCTTCTCACTTCCTTCTCACTGTCTTATTTTCCACTTGTCAGATATGTGAAGAAAACACACTTTTTCGAGCGAATATACATGTGCGTGATAATTGTTTTTTTTAGAATTATATTTTTGTATTCTTACTGTAGTGTCTTGTCTTGCCGCTGTGGATGTCTTAGGTACAGATATTTTGCTCTGTATAACGTCAATTCAACTTCTTAGGGATCGAAGAGATTATATATGTGTATATTTTTCTTCACATGAATGTCATTGTTTTCTGACTACAGTATAGACGTATTTTATTGAATTTGAAATATATGTATATCCATGTCTTCTTAAACATTAAAACATATTGTTATCTGAAAATGCCCTTGTTGAACTAGATATATTTAATGTCGGAATTATAAAAAGTAATGATAAATTCATCCATTTGGTATTTATTTAATGTTATGACTTAGTTCAAGACAAGACAAGTGAATGTAAATGTAAAAATGTTATTGCTAGACTAAATTCATGTCTAAATAGCATACATACATCCATACATATTCATGTACAGTACGTGCATATAAACATGAAAGTATGTAGCAATGTATGTATGCATATGTAATGTATATATAAAGAACTAGTTTTAAACTTTTGATTGGAATATTAATGTAATGTTTGTAAAACCCAGTTAAAAGGATCTTGATGTGTGAATATATGTACGAATCCAGCACAATTATCCATTGATTTTATCTTTATATTTAGGCTTTTTAAGCTATAACTTGGTCATAATGGAAAGCTGGTAAAGTCGTGTTAGTGACCCTACGGTTAAATAATTTCTAAAATTTAACAAATGATGTTGATAACCAGATAGTGTCGCTGTCTTTTACGAGATGTGTTCCTTCATTTTTCTTTTTAAGTGTTCAATTTAAATGGTTTTCCAAGGCTGTTGTACTTCTTTTGTGCTTATGGGAGGATATCCCAAG